TTACATGTATGAAGAATATAATATTACAAAATGAAATTTTTATCATTGTTTTTTTATAGTTTGTGAATAATTTATTACCTGTCTCTCGAACGTTTATATAAGATCCTACGTTAAAATCGCAAAATTCAAAAATTAATAACTTTTAAAGGAGCAAATAAAAAAATTTGAAATAATTCATGACGATTTAGAATGTCATTAAGAATGTTAAATTAAAAATTCACGGCGATCTCATTGATTGTAATATATCTCCAATACATCCTTAAATAAAGTGTCTTCCCACTTTATTTCTCGGGGAAACTTTTTTGGAAGATATTATCATTTTAGAAGAAAGGGAAGGAGTTGGAAATAATCATGTTGGAGGCAGGATAAAGTAAAAGGAAAGATGGACAAGTGGAAATGAAGTCGCTGTGAAATCTTACTGACTAGGATTCACCAGAGGGCTTCCCCCGGGTTTAAAGACGCGGAAGACATGTAAATATATGAAATATATGAAATGCGAAACAGATATGGGCGTAACGTCCACGGGTTTCGCGTTACAGGAAGAGCCTTATCCGTGGGGATCTAATTGTTGTGGCCGAATGATGGTTAGCGGGTCGTTCACCACACCCACACCCACACAAGCCGAACTCCCATCGTCGATACTTGACGAAGAATCGAAACGAAACAAAACGAGTCGCGCACAAATAGAATCTGAAATCCCCCAATTGAAGAGGATTTGATGGGGACAGCGAAGTATTCATGAAATTCGCCGAGAAAAATGCGCGGAAAATTTGAAAAAATTTTCATCAGCGAGAAAAAAATCTTCGGGAGAGAGAACATCCGATTATTAATCGCGATTTATCCGATTATGTACTTGTTGTCGAAATATATACGGCTTTTCTAAAATAAATAAATACCGTTTGATAATTGCTACACTGAGGAATAAATTATCTCGAAATAAAAAAATTTTAGTTAACTCAAGAAAGCTATTTATTCGGTGGGTACTAATCACATATTTATTTGTATTAAAACGTCTGTTTACTTAAATTAAGTATTTATTTACATATGTTTAAAAAAAATGTATATGCTTAAAAAAATATAATTTTTAATTAAATATTTTTATTTTAATTTTACAAAATATTTATTAAAATGCATTTTTTATTCCCAAAAATTTTAAATTTTTTAATTTTAAAAATGATATATTTAATTTAATAAATTATAGTATATATTTTACGAAAATAGTATTTAAATATAAAAAATATATAAATAAAAATAATGTACTTAATATAACATACATATTTAATTAAAATTAAATGCTTTTGCTTAAATGCAATAAACAATTCCTTGCATTTAAAACAAAAGTTTCAAGAAAACAAATTTATTTGATTTAAAAATTTTTTTCCTCAGTTCTACATATTTTTTAAATTTATATAAATTTCCAATTTTTTTTAAATGTTTCTTTTCATAATTATTTCAGTTATTGTAAAATTTATGCGTATATCGATAGTAAATTATCGATTAATAATTAATATTTTAAACTTTTGCCGCTTGTTGAACATTTTCCGGGGAAGTTTTCAGTATCTCTCGCAATTTTACGAATTACATCAAATGCAACGATTTTACGAGCCGCAATTGAAATCGAACACGTTATAAAATATAAATAATATCGTGGAGAGCTGTCGCGCTTGGGTTTTAAACCAGACACCCCATATTTCAAATATTCATGGCGAAAAAAATGTACGACTTCGGGAGTAGCTACACATCTTTGAATATCTATATTTAATTTTTTTAACTTGTCCAAAATTTGAGAAAAAAATTTAGGAAAAAAAATGTTTACCTTTTCCTTACATTAGATTGATGATATTTTTAGTGTTAATATCCGTTTTGTAAATTTATTCTATTTGTCAAATATAATAAATTAAATTAAATTAAATTAAAATAAAATAAATATGAAAATAAAGAATTAAATTAAAATAAAATAAAAAATTAAATCAAAATAAAATAAATAATTAAATTAATTAAAATAAAGGAGGAGAATTCTTCCCTAAAGATAGGAAGGAAATATGGAGATATGTTTATATGAAAAACTCCCTTTCACTTTCGACAAAGCATCAGCTCCTAAGATTTATCACACTTATCTAGAAACACCCTGTGTATCTTCTCGCTGTTTATAATTTTTTTTTTTATATAAAGCAATCTATACATGGCGGGTTTCCGTTTGACACTAAGGTCTATTTACATTGTAGTCGAGCTGGCCAGTTCGCACGTTAAACCTAAGTGACCCAGTATAGTCAATATAACCAGTCCAGGTCGTTCACTTCATTAGGGTTATCGATGCATGCCGACCAGGTTAGTCCGCATAAAGGCGCGATTATAGAAGGCGCGTTATTATCCTCAGAAGCGGCAAACTTCATCGTCGCTGGCACGATTTCAACGCGCAGAACGTTGAAAGGCAGGCTAATCAACTACGTGTCGCCGACTCGCTGATAACATAAAGGCTACTTTATTTTTATCTCGCGCGGAAATAACTGTTAAAAATAAAATTTTCACCTCTAATAAAAGTCAGAAGACGAGTCGAAGTGTACATCGAGGATTTTTTTCCTCAACATTCACTTATTATTATTATTAATTCATTATATTTTTTAAATAAATTAAATTAAATTAAATTAATTAAAATAAATATGAAAATAAAGAATTAAATTAAAATAAAATAAATAATTAAATTAAAATAAATAAAATATGAAGTATCCGAATCAGATTTGTTGATATAAATTTTTTTTTTCTTTGACGAAACCTTAAAATTGCCACGACTACGGGAAATATTGGCTAATTCCGGTTTCTAAAAAAAAAAAATAACGCAAATGCATTAATTACTCCGAAGATTAATTATCACGATCGACGAGGATTAATTTCCAAGTAGATAGTATCGCGTCTCTCTTTTCTCTCTCGATTAATCTTCTGATAAGCCAGTCTAGTGAAAACCGGAACATATCACCAATGTTTTTTACATCGAAAGATCTCGTTTACACAAGCCGGATGAAAAATGAATCGCAAGTCAACATTATTATTTCAGATATATACCGCTATGCATAATCAGGTTATTTGAAAAGTAAACCGTGTTTAACATTCACGATGGTATTAAAAAATTACCTTTTAATATCTCGCAAGAATTAAACACCTTCCTGTCGTTTAATAAATTAATTGAATCATCGAGGAATAGGGTTGCATGAGATACCAAGATTAGTCTTGATATTGTCTTGTCTTGTCTTGAATTTCAAGACAAGATCAAGACAAGATTTTTAATTAGTTATCAAGACAATACCAAGACTAAGATGTCAAGATTATTAGTCTTGTCAAGATTATCGGTTCTCAAAAAAACTAAAATATTTATATTTGTAAATGAAAAAAAATCACTATATACGAATTTAAAAAAATTTTATTCAATAAAAACACTTATATTAATAAATTTAAAAACATTTAATATTAATACAATATAACATTTTTATAAATTAGAAATCAAACTCGCAAATTTTAGACATTGAAGAGCATTTCATCCAGGAATTGATGCACATTAGTGCTTTTAAAGATTTATTTTGTAATCTGATACTATTTTTTAACATAGTCAGAGTTCCTATTGAGAAAAGTCTTTCTACTGGCACGAACGAGGCAGTTGAACTTAAAATGTCTCGAGCCATTTTTGACAATGTGGAATAAATATGAACCTGACTTTTTTACCACTCCAAAATATTTATATCTGCACATTCCCTTGGAGCTCGTAAATAGTTATTAATTTCTGTTTTCCATGAAATAGTAAATGTTTTTTTACTGTAAATGGACGGCATTTATATCGATTACATAGTAATAATTATAATTAAAATATAATACAATAGTAATAATTATTTCAAATTATATTACAAAAATTATGTTAAATATTATTTAAATAATTTTTTAATAGATAATTAGATAAAAAATTGTTAATAAAATCGAGACAAGACGAGATTTTTGCTACCAATATTCACTCAAGACCAAGACAAGATTTAAATTTTTGAAAATTTTCAATACCAGTACAATATTTTTACGAATGTTGTCTTGTGCAACCCTACCGAGGAGTTTTCAGTTAATTAATTAAAATAAAAAGACAGAGAGAACGAGGGGGGAGATTTGATTCTATTTGACACATTATTCGATCGGAAAAATCGACCGAGAAAAATAGATGAAATTTGAGAAAAGTCCTTCATGGAATCCAATGATCCCTTCAGAAGCAGCCATCGTATAAAATCCATTTCTGTCCCTTACATAACACACCGTTATCAGGAATTATTCGGCGGAAATTGGGTAAGCGAATTCAACAGCTTTGTACAAATCACATTCAGCGAGAACGAAACGCGAAGGGTTCTCTCGAACGGATCGACTTGAACTCTCGAGGCGATGAGGTCGAAGAAATATCTGCTTTGCTTCTCACGCGGATTCACCTTGAATACCGCATTTTTTCCCCCAGTACGATATCACATTTTTCAGCTGATTCAGATATTCGGAAAATATACCCGGCGTCTCCGCTTCATTGGAGCCAAGTGCAAAGCAGAAAAAAGTAGCATTGAAGTTTACGCATCGAAGATATTTTGATCATTCTTATCTTGTGTATTTAAAAAAACCTGATGACATTTTTAATGTTAATATCTGTTTTGTAAATTTATTATATTTATTAAATATAATAAATTAAAATAAATATAAAAATAAATAATTAAATTAAAATAAAATAAATAATTATAAATAAAAATAAATAATTAAATTAATAAAAATAAATAATTAAATATAATGAATAATATGTTAAATGTCTTAACGCGTTACGTCATTAGATCATTCGAATGTAAACAAAAACTTGGACATTTCTCGCTCGAGGAACTAGAGATAATCATAGCAGGTCGTTGCCCTCCACCCTCGCTTAACGTACTAGGGCAGATTGAAGTTTATCGGTTGCAGCTCGGTTGAAGCTAACATGTTTGCTATCCTTCCTGTTGCAGGGTCTCGACAACGTAAGCTCGGCGACCCTCAGGCCCTTTAACTCGGACATCAACACACCGAGGATCGACAGCTACAGGTTCTCGATGGCGAATCTCGAAGGTAAGCTCGCATTGAGGTTTATTGATCACCCCGGGCTTCCGGAAAAGACGCTTTTTTTCTCCCGAGCCTCGACTTTTGAACGACGTGACACTGACCACTCGAGTCATTCTCTCGCCGCTTTTTTTCTCTACGTTCCATTTTCCGCGCTCGAGTAAATGATGGAGATGACGGTGGCTCTCGATCGATCAGCGTCACAAGTCTAGGATATTGCACGAGATATCAAAATTAGTCTTGATATTGTCTTGTCTTGAATTTCAAGACAAGATCAACACAAGATTTTTAATTAGTTATCAAGACAATACCAAGACTAAGACTGTCAAGATTATTAGTTTTGTCAAGATTATCGATTCTCAAGAAAACTAAAATATTTATATTTGTAAATGAAAAAAAAAATCACTATATACGAATTTAAAAAAATTTTATTCAATAAAAACATTTATATTAATAAATTTAAAAACATTTAATATTAATACAATATAACATTTTTATAAATTAGAAATCAAACTCGCAAATTTTAGACATTAAAGAGCATTTTACCCAGGAATTGATGCACATTAGTGCTTTTAAAGATTTACTTTGTAATCTCTATTTTTTGACATAATCAGAGTTCCTATTGAGAAAAGTCTTTCTACTGGTACGGACGAGGCAGTTGAACTTCAAATATCTCGAGCCATTTTTGACAATGTGGGATAAATATGAACTTGATTTTTTTACCACTGCAAAATATTTATATCTGCACATTCCCTTGGAGCCTGTAAATAATTATTAATATCTGTTTTCCATGAAACAGTAAATGTTTTTTTATGTAAATAGACAGCATTTATATCGATTACATAGTAATAATTATAATTAAAATATAATACAATAGTAATAATTATTTCAAATTACATTACAAAAATTATGTTAAATATTATTTAAATAATTTTTCAATATTAGATAAAAAATTGTTAATAAAATCGAGACAAGACGAGACGAGATTTTTGCTACCAATATTCACTCAAGACCAAGACAAGATTTAAATTGTTCAAAATTTTCAATAACAATACAATATTTTTACGAATATTGTTCTTGTCTTGGGTCTTGTGCAATCCTACGTACGTTGCTTTCTCCTCGCGAAAAGAATGCAACGCGGACCCCCGCGGTGCGTAAATTTTATCAGAAGCCTCCTGAGCGAGAAGACTAACGAGACACATCGGATGATACAAATCGTCCCGTCGTAAAAATTTATTTCGGCCATTTTTCCCCTCGGAATTTATAAGCGGCCGCCTGCTCCTCTCGATAACGTCGTTTTGGTTTTTCGGATATCTCATCCTTTGATACATATTTTCCACAATGAGAAATACTTCCACACTCAAGCCGAATTTTTTTGTAGAATTTTTAGTATAATTTTAACATAATTTTATTTTGATCATTATTATCCCAGCAAACATCAAGTAACATTTATATAATTTCCCAATATAAATGGTTATATAACATGTTATATAACTGTGTTATTTGGCTGTGTTGTTTGCTGGGATTAATTTAATTTTATAGAGATATTTAATTAATATTTTGAACAACTTTTTTTATATTTATTTTATTTTACTTTGTAGAAAATAATCTCACAATCATCACTCCTGTTTATTATACACGTCACGACTCTCCGCCTTTCGGTTTCTGTTCTCGTGCTTCTCACCCTCGCTTTCGCCCACGTGCGAATATAACTGCGCGAAATGCGATTATAAGAGAAGCGGAGAAACGCCGGGAGATTCTCGAAAGGATGTGCGTGCGATCTCTATCTCTTCTCCTCTTCTCTCCGTCGTTGCTGCTCTCGACTCATTCGTTGCACAGAACTCGAGGGCGGACAATCGATACGATGATATATCGTGCATTCGCAAAGATCGAAAGTTTTATACGTGTGTACAAAGCGGCGGATTCCGCATCGCAGGGGTGGGATTATGTTATTTTTGCCTCTCCAGCACTTAATGATTCATCTGGGAACCATAATCCGAACCCCTGAGCAAGACACGCGTGCGATCTCCTCTCAGTATCACACAGCGGAGATTCGATACTCAAAGATTTACTCACCCGTTACATTTCCAAATCTGTGAACTATAGTACACTTTCATCCTATTTGAGAACGAAATTTGAATATTATTAAAATTTTTACATTTAATATTATTAAATATTTTTATATTTAATATTAAATATTTAAATATTATTAAGATTTAAAATATTTAAAAAATAAATAATATAAATTTATTTACACTTTAATGGGAATGTACATCCCAAAAATATATCTTCATCTTCAATATTCTAACAAAGTGAAAATTTACACAATTTTACGCCAAAAATTTACTTCCTAAAATTTTTAGCAAGACATGTTTGCCGAAAGATATGATTTTTTTTACGCAAAAATAAAGACAATTTTCATCTTTTCAAGTCCTTATTGTCGCGAGAATCGCAGGATGCGAGCATCTCTTGAGAAGAATCTCTCCTCGTCGGAATTCTCTCTCGTTATGGTATTTTCAGGGCGTGATGCTCGGATTTCGTGACGCGTGAAAAATCGCGAGACGTGCGTTCAATTATGGCGTCCTATTTGCCATGCGTGGAATACTTAATCGATCATCTCTTGCATTAAAATAACACGCCAGACGGGCGTCGTTTCAATCCGCGCAAAGATTACATCTTTCCTATTTTCACACTCTTCTGACATTCCTTAGATAAAGTGATGACGAACGTTGACAACTCGATTCCGAAAATTCCGATTTAAATTATGCACAAATCCTATGATTATTTATATGATATATGCATCATATATAATTCGATAATAATTTATAATAATTGATATTTATCAGAGATAATTCGATAATAATAATTTCTAATGATTTATTTATTTATTTTTTTAATATATAATTGTTCCATAATAGAATGATATATAATAATAAAGATATATAATACAAAATGTGTAATTGCATTAATATAGTCTTGAAAAAATAAAAGATATATATATTTGAGATTGTCTGTCTGATATATAATTTTATAATTTTTATAATAATTTTTAATGATTTATTTATTTTTTCTGTATAATTATTTAAGAATATAACGATAAATACATGTAATAAAAATGTGTAATTATATTAATGTATTCTTGAAAATGAAAGGCATATATTTATAGAGATTTTCTATTAACCTGATATAATCTATCTATGATTTAAAATTTCTACAAAAGATTGAAATATGTTTAGAAAGTTTCAATATTATGTTTAGATGCAGTGTGTATTACTTTTCAAATCTATATATTTATAATTTCATATCACGCAACACTTTGCGTGTTTCTAATTTCTCTTCAAAAATAATTGAATCTTAAATTTTCGCCATTATAAACTTTATCCAATAAATTTGTTAGAGGAAGCACACTGATTTCACGCAAGGCGTGTATTGAATAAAGATGAAAAAAGTTCCATCGGAAGAGATCCATCTCAAAATATAATATATAATGAATCTCGACAGAGATAGAGACGTGCAACAAATTTCGGTCGCCGTTCTTTATAGTTCCCCTCGCTTTCACAAGATCAGGGACATTGTTCGAACTTCAACCTGCCGTCGTTAAACCGATATTGCAGGCCGTGCATTCCGTAGACGGACGGATGAGAAACAACACCGGCTGTAGACGGCAATATCCTTTCCCGTCGTCGAGTGCCATTCTTTAAATCACGGCGAATCTATCCCAAGTCACGCTATAAAACGCCCGTAAAACGACATATTACAATAGCATTCAGAGGACACGTGCACATGCACTTAAGCGGCGTCCAGACGATCGTAAAAGACGCGAAATCGTAACGTTGGGCTCCGCTCTTGATCGTAATGTGATTGCGACGAATTAGAAAGCTTAAAATGGAAGTTTTCAATTGACAAGCCAACACTAGTGGTCAGAAGATTTTTTTTTTAATTTTTTCTCTCTGATAATTTTGCTCTTATATCGTACACGGTAAAAAACATTTTGTATTTCTGTTAAAATTTTCTCGTGTCAAAATTTTTGTGTTAAATTTTTAACATACTCTTATGTTAATATAACATATTATCGTTGCGTTATTTTGACATTTCTGCGTTGAGTTAATATTTACCGTTTCTAAGAGTTAAAACAACACAATTAATATGTAAATGCACGAATTTTTGATGAAATATGTTATATGTTAAAATGAACAGATAAGTTGTGTTATTTTTCTCTCTATAACAGTTTCCATATGTTAAGTCGACATATCTCTTCTGTTATTTATCATAAAAATGTAAGAATAACATTTTCTTTTAATTAAATTTAACATTATAAATATGTTAATTTAACGTAAACTTTATTTCCAGATAAAGTTTAAGTGTTACACTTTTGTGTTAATTTGTAAACATATTACTTGTGTTATTTATTTACATACTTGCCTTTTGTTAAATTAACATTAAAATTAGAGTGGATAAATTGGGACATGTGAAATATGTGAAATATGTTTAACACAAAATTTTTTACTGTGCAGTTCTAATCCTGATGGTAGTCAAAACGTCGATAAATCTCCCAAAAAAATCAGTAGATAATTCAAAAGATAATTCAAGCAGTCTTGAAAAAGATTGTTACACCAAGCAACACTGCAATCGTTTCAATTGAAATAGTCTAGTTCGATCTCTAATTCTTTTTAATTTGCATTTTTAGAAACAATTAACGAACAAACATCTTTGAATTATATTTGTTTAATTCTTGTAGTGGCTTATGTTGTCCATAAAGGATAGCAGTGTCCAAATGATATCCAAATATCCAATCAATAATCTGTCAATTAAGCAAGTTGTGAGAAATGTGTTTAAAATATATCATATATTTTAATTTTTAATTATTATGTGTTTTAAATTTTAAAATGTTATGTGTTTAAAATATATTTTATGTATTCAATGCCTTAACAAATTATTTATTTTAAATATTAATATAAAAAATATGCAATATTAAATATGTAATATATATTTATATATTTTTTATTTTA